ATTTGATGCATTGCAAACATAGACTGTGGAATGCCAATCTTAAGAGTGATGGACTAATATATCTGACAAAGGAGCTTTTAAAATAATAAAAGCTGCTGGACAGAGTGCATGCCTATACCCCCAGCACAGCCTGAAGCAGGAGGGTAATGACTTCAACGCCAGTCTAGGTAACATAGCAAGAAGCTGTCTCAAACAAACAAACAAAAGCATAAGGCTTAGATATAATTGGCTGCTTTTAGTCAGGTTTATAGTGAGCCTTGGGAGCAAAAGTATGCAGACAGTCAATAGTTGAAAATTTTGTGGTCTGGTCAGGGATGGAACAAGAAAAGGTATGTAAAGCTGTGGGCCAAGTGGGGTGCAGTGCAGACACAGGAATGCGAGTCAGATCTTCAGGACAACTTGGAAAAGGCCTGCGGGGCATCTCAGAAATCTTCTAGGCCACACCCTCCCATCACAGGCCCACAGATCTTCCCATTCCAAATCCAAGGCTTCTTGGCCTGCTTCATTGTGAGCCACAGGTACTGAAATAGAACTTCTAGTCCCATCCATCCAGAATGCTAAGTGGTTAGGTAAGACTAGCTCTTCTGACCAGAGCTCAGTGAGAAAAGGATATTTTAAAGGGTTTCATATCATGTTAACAATTAGATCAAGGGCAAACACAACAATGGGATTGGACTTTGAGCACATGATAAAAGTGAGAGCACACAAGGGAGGGGTGAGGATAGGTAAGACACCTAAAAAATTAGCTAGCATTTGTTGCCCTTAACGCAGAGAAACTAAAGCAGATACCTTAAAAGCAACTGAGGCCAATAGGAAAAGGGGACCAGGAACTAGAGAAAAGGTGAGATCAAAAAGAATTAACCTAGAAGGTAACACACACGCACAGGAAATCAATGTGAGTCAACTCCCTGTATAGCTATCCTTATCTCAACCAGCAAAAACCCTTGTTCCTTCCTATTATGGCTTATACTCTCTCTACAACAAAATTAGAAATAAGGGCAAAATAGTTTCTGCTGGGTATTGAGGGGGTAGGGGGGAGAGGGAGGGGGCAGAGTGGGTGGTAAGGGAGGGGGTGGGGGCAGGGGGGAGAAATGACCCAAGCCTTGTATGCACATATGAATAATAACATAAAAAAAATCAATCACTTTTGTTCGATTACCAAGAGCTGTATGCAACAGATTTCTCTGAACTTTTCACCACCCCTGTGCCCAGCCTGACATGAGTCCCAGCTGGAATGAAAGTAGCTGCCCCAGACATCACTTGATGTTGTGAAGTGCCCATTTGGCCTCATCAGAATGGAAGAAATTAGGTTCAGTGAAAGCACACAGAAGAGATGGAATATTGAAATATGGGGCTTACCTCCATCTCCTCCCTGGTTTTGCCAAAAGGTCACTGGTTAGTCTCTGAAGTTTGGTCAGAAGACTCTTACTCATTTACATCCCATACAAGAAGAATGAAGGCAGGACATGAAAATGTAGTGATAATAAGGTTTATTGATGGTGAGGGGAAGGCACTGCAAGAGAAAACAATGGGCTCTGGGCAGGTGGAATAGAAGTCCCAAACTCTATTCTAAAGTGCCTTTATAAATTGAGAGGGCAAATGGTGGGAAAAATCTGGGCAGTCTTTTCAGGATGGGATGGGTGATTATTGACAATTTGACAAGGACTTGTCATACAGCAGAGGGCGCTCTGCTAATATACTCATGCTAATTCATGTATTTTAATTACATGTATAAGGTATGATCAATATTCATGTTTACTTTTACCTGAGGGGTAATCAAGAGTGGAATTTCACAAGGCATCCTGTCCTTGGGGAAAGTTACAATTGAAAGAATTTACAATTGGAGAGGACTCTATAACTGCTAAGATTTTAACAATTGTAAAGAAATTTACAAGTACAAAGGAAGGCACTGGGCTGAGAAGAAGGGTTTAGCATAAAATGCCCTGATAAGAGTCTCATGGTGCATACTTACTTAGAAACTTACATACATACATATATATACATACATATAAATATGTATAGTTTCCTTTGTTTATTATGTGTACTATAAAGCCTACACAATAGAAATTTTACAAGGAAGAGATAATAATAATAAGCTATCAGCAGACAATCGAATAGTTTCCTCCTCCACCCCAGTGGATCAGTGCAGAAGCCCATTGCACATGCACCAGACCTACAGCCAGATTTCTAGGGCCTCCAGTTCTCTATCAGTCAAACCAGGCAGGAGGCTGCAGCCTGATGGACTCTCCCAGCAACCAGCCTTGTGCCAACTGACCAGAGTCTCTTGTGAGCTCTGCCTGAACTGCTGCAGACCTATCTATCAGTACTGGTTGACCTAAAAGATGGCCACCAGCATACACAAGGCATTCTTCCGCATGGCAGAAGAGAGGTGTGAGGGAGAGGCTATGAGATCTTGCTTCAGTTTAGCCTGGGTATCTTGAAGATCATCCACTCAACACTCACTACCAACCTGCTAACAAAAATGCTAGAAAGAAGAGGCTCATGCTATTGTGGAATGCATCCAAAACTAGAAAATTCTAGCTTCTGCTTTTTAATGACAATGGGGTTAGTAATGATTTCACTTTTCCACTCTCTGATCTCAGTTTTCAGCAAGGTATTATTACTTTCCCGTCACTCACATTCCTTCATTCAAACTTGAGACAATAATGACCTTCAAAAAAACTAATTTTCACTCAAAGAATTATTCTAGGCATGTGAGAACCAAAGGAAATTCTCAGTGACCAAAAATGAGGGATGCTCTTATTTTTTCACTTGAAAAACAGATAATCTACTGTAAAAATATAGACAAGTAACTGAGAAAGTTAACTTATTATGGAACTTATACAGTTAATTGTTAGGACAGATAACAAAGGCCATTATGACAAGACAGTTCTCATAATCACCATGTCTTGTGGCCAGTTGGGGACAAAGGTATAGTCTAACACCCCATCCTCCCTATTTTACACACTTTTGCTATACCCAGGGAATTTTTGACATTTACTTATCAGTTACCCTTGTAACAAAATTCTTTACACTTCAGTGTCAGCTGGTTACTGGTGCCTCTTTGAAGGGTATTTCTACTCCAAGACAAATTCTTACTATGAACTATTCTCTCTGAGGAAGGAATATAAAATGAAGGTCATTTTGGGGGACAGGAAATTTTATCCTAATAAAATTTTATCCTAATAAAATTAGGATTTAAAATTTTTATCCTAATAAAATTTTACATCATTAAAGTAAAAAGATGGAGTATCAGAGAGAGGAGGATGTTTGTATTTAAGTCTCCTTCGTAATTGCCGGGAGACTCTGTCTGGCTTGGAGCCCATCTTGCCCCACCACAGGAGATTAAGTAAGTGTTGGGATCTGGTGACAAATGAAGGACTTCGGGGCATTGGAAAGTTACAGGAAATGAGAAGACAGGACAGCTCACATGGCAATAAGGAATTTAGAAAAAAAAGATGTAGAAAGAGGGCAAAGAAGCAAGATTTGAGTTTGTTTGTTTTTTTAAACCTGAGAGCAAATGTTTGAATAACAGATGGTAGATAATTTTTGGACATTAGCAGGGTGATTACATAGAACAAATATTCTCTCGTGGTTTTTATGCAAGATAGTCTTAGAAAAGGATCACAGTTACATACCCCATCGGAGTAATTGGTAAGCCTAGATTCTTTCCTGAGGCTGTGACCCTGCCACCAGAGTCCAAGACAATCCATTCCTTAATGCAACATATCTGAGGCAGGCTAAAGATAAAAAAGATGGAGACTCTTAAACATATATGACTTAACATGTTGTATTTCAGCAGACTGAACATTTTCTCTCTAAACCTCCTTTTCAATTTCAAATATGCATAGAGTGAAGCACCCTGTTCTAGGTACAGCTCAAACCCCTACCCACTCCCCCATGATTACTGATCAAGGACTGCCCAGGTTTTTTTCCCCTCCTGTTGGCTAGCACAGGGTTTAAAAACACCTTGAAACAGAGAGAGCACTGTCTTTGCTTCAGGCTCCCACCTGGCTCACCATGGCCTTTTGTAACTCCTTTCCCTAAACTTTAATACACTTTTATTATCACCCACAGTATGTCTACATATCCTGCCGGCCTGGATGCATCTGTATAAGATAAACAAATACGGAATTTTCTGTTTACCAGCGACTGTGACAATCCTTCCCCCTACTTTAAAAAAAAAATCACACAAGTGTTATGAAATTGAAGAAGTGGCCTGGGAAGTCTGTATTTTAGATAGAGTCAGAAGTGGGTCAAAATAATGAAAGATTGAAATAGGAGAAAATGATTCTTAGATATGAAAATAGTACATGTTTTGCCAAAGAATATGTATATATGCACATGGAACATTGGCTAAGAGTCTGTACAATTCAAGCTTCATTAACTTCAGAAAAAAAAATGATAAAGACTTACACCCAACAATGTTTAAAATTTTAATTATATGCATCTTAGTTTTGTGATTTGAGTCATTCCCTCTGTTTAAAGACATCAATCAATAATCATTAATTTGCTATTTGACATTAACAAGACTAAAAAAGTGAAAAATATTAAGTTTGACATCTGAGTTAGTGAATGGGAAACAAGTTCTGAAGATAACACATACTTTTGTGCCTCTGAGAGCTTAAGTGTTTGGGTGAAAGACAAACTTCCAGACAGTTGTCAGATGTTCAAGACACTGGAATTGGTCGGGTCCAAGTCAAGGGCTCCAAACTATAAAGGGAGCACAGGTTAAAATCTTGGTCACACATGGAATATACAGAAAAGTTCTCTAGAATAAATACAAGAGATGAGGAAAGGGTGGCATTAGAAAATGGAGCAGCAAGGCTGGGCAGAAGGCTCTGCTCTGCTGTGGGGGGGAAGGGCTCTTCAGGCTATTCCCTTCTCTGACCTTTGTGACCCTCCTATGCTTTGTGATGCAGGCTGCAGGCCTGGGTATATAGCCAAGCCCACAACCCCCTCAGAACTCAGTTGCCTCAGGCAGCGGTGCAACTCAGATTATGAAGAGTATATCTTTTCTGAAGAGCCACATAGAGCTATGGCTGAACTATGGCTCAACTTTCTTGGATATTGACCCCAAGTGCACCTTTCTGAGTGCCTTGGGGTTGCTACTTCTGTACCTGTGTTACAGATTATCAAAACGAACTTTACCAGCCCACGCCAAAAATAACATCCCAAAGGTAAGAAAGTATGGGTAAACCCCAACAAAGAGAGATTCTTTGTTAGTGTTTCCTATTTCTATTCTCACATTACTGAATGAGTTTGGTTGTCTCTGAGAGACATCTGACATGGGAAGTCTGAGAAGATAAAACATCACTATTCTAGGCTATGAGGCCTGGTAAGTGAAAGGGTTCAGGGAGGACTAAGGTTTCCATCTGAATTCCACAGACTCCCTCTCTGCCTGTGCTATAGAATCCCAAATAGTGATTCTGGTGTCCTGATTAGTTTAGCTAGAGAGACTGGCTTTTATGAAGGGAAACAGTTGTTCCTGACACTTGATCCTGAGTCCTATCCCCATGTCAGGTGTCTATTCACCAAGCCTTTCTTTGTGCTGGGCTGGTCAGGAGAACTGTGCTGACCTCTGAGGGCCTCTGAGAAGAGCCTGGAACTTGACCTCTGTGCCCAGGACTCAAGGTCCTCTGAGGAAGCACATATGTGATTGTTGGCTGCAGATTCTATGCTCTGCTTGAGCAGAGGACTTCTGACCAAGAGCCCCAAGTGTGGTTCTCACTGACAAAACCCACATTCATGTTTTCCAAGAAGAAAAACTGAAAATATTCATCACCTTTAAAAACTTTAAAAGAGGAAGGAACAAATCTCTGTTCATTAAATGGACAGTCATATTCTACCTGGTTAATGGATGTCTGAACAGGCTTCAAAGAGAAGCAATATAAGTGAGTCACAGCCCCTCATTCTTGCCTTTTTTGTTCCCAGCATCGGGGCAGATATAAGAGAAGGAGAGGCGCATTTACAGGTATGTTTCTTCCTATTTGACCTGATCTCTCCAAGGATGTAACCCTGACCCTTTCCATGAAGTCCCAGGCCCATGGTCTCTGAGGCAGTCAGTTCCTAGACACACTCTCTCAGCAAACAGAACCCTCAGAGGAGAGGCTCAGAGGGAAGCAGTCATACCTGAGACACTTCTCAGAGTCTGGACTCTGCTCAACCATGGGCATGAGACCTGGGCAGTGGGTGCTAAACACCAGTGGTAACAAAGATGTCCAGGTTGGACTACAGGATGCTTTAGAATCACAACTTATGTCTCCTTACATTGTGTAAAGTGCTTAAGTCCTTAATATGCTAAGCAGAGTACCTATCCAAATGGGACTTCTGTAAGATGCTTATTTCTAACTTCATTTTATATAACCCCTGGTTTTCAAGGACACAGAACTTTCTGGAGAGAAGTGGAGGAGAAGAAGAGAGAAGCAGAAGAGTGGAAGAAACTGCTTGCTATTGTGACAAGGTGATTAGTCATTTCTTAATTTCCTGATCCTTTTTTAGTATGTTCTGTACATCCCAGGAATTCAGTGAGCCTGCCCTTGACATAGGAGGGGTAGCCATAGCAATAGGCATAACAATGGAGCTCTTGGGGACAGGCTATATAGAATTGATTCTGAGGCCATATATGTGGGAGAAAGTAAAGGTCATACCAGGATTCAAGTGTTCCACCCCCACCGTGCCATCAGGCCCTCTGTTCTTTTGTGTTGGTCCTGGCTGTCACTTTATACTTTGTCTCCCATAGCCTCAAGGACAAGCATCATGATTCCACCCGCTTTCAGAAACTGCTATGTCCAGACCCCCTCTGTAGGATTTGCAGTCAAACAGCTACTGAGGTCAGTAACCTGCTATCTCTGGCATCCTTTGAAGTTTCTACAGCTTCTGAGTCCCCAGGGGGAAGCCACAGCACCTAAGAAAGAGTCATCATCATCCTTTACCACTCCTCCCTCAGAAATCCCTCCAGAGCATCCAAATCCAGGCCCTACACTTGAGGTTTCAATACCTCCTCCTTCCATTCTCTTACCTAACCAGGAGACTCCTTTGGAGGACTTACCTTCACTCTCACCACTGGATGAATCTCTACCACCAGAGCCTAAATTCTCCCTTTGATGCCAAATTCCCAGTGGACTCACTCTCATCCCAGAACCTTGCCTTTCCCCCTCTCCTACAGCATCATACCCAAGATACAGACCTGGTTCTCCCACAAGATGCCACTTTGCCTCTGGTGGACAGCCCTGGTGGGTTGTCCTCTTATGACCCAACAACCAGAGGCATTGGCAATTCCACCTTGGCAACATCAGAATTTTCATGGAGAGAGCCTGGTGTAAAGAGCTGGTCCTCTTCCAACTTGACACAGTATAAAGCCATGCAGGATTTTCTTTCCCTCCATTCTTCTGAGGCCTCTTCTGGAGGTGACCCTGCAATATACCTTATAGATCCTGGCAACCTCTCATTTGTCAGCCTTGATGTGCTCTCATTCCTGGAGAGACAAATCAAAGAGAGAGATGATTTATTGATATGGAAAGAAAAGGAAAGGAAAATAGAACCTTTTCCAAAACAATTTAAACTAGAGTACCCACTGAATTCTTCAGGGAAAATGTTAGTGTCAGTTGCTGATCAGCAGGACTCTGCAGTCTCCCTTCCTTTTGGGAGCAGCACAAGGACACCAGTGGAACTGCACATGCCCCAGCAGCATTCATACGTAAAGAACTCTGAACATGAATTAACAAAAAAATACACCCAACTTTTCTGGGGTCTTCCATCAATGCACAGCGAGTCCCTGAGCATTACTGTTCCTGCCTTCGGTGACTGTTTTTTTTATCTGCTTCAACAGACTGTACAATGCTTCTACAGTCTGTGAATCCCCAATCCTTCCTTCTTCCACACTTCCATCTTCGCCTGAGATTGAACCTCAAGTCTTGTACCAAACAAACCAATCTCAACATCTCTCTCCTGCCCAGGACAAGGCCCAGCTTCAGTCCTCTCTCCCAGTTCTGCCACCTTCTTCTCTACCCTAGCTTAGGAAGTGTGGAGTGTGTGTTCATACACCTCAGAGTGAGGCACTATCTCTATCACCATCTGAAATTTGCCACCTGGAATATAACGTGTTGCAAAAAAAACTGGAGAGTTTGTGGGATTTACCATCTGTGATCCAAAAATCCCAGGAAGAATTTTGTCCTCCAGCTCCCAACCTTCCATTGGTCAGCAGGTCCTCCAAGTCCCATGTTCAGAACTCCATCCTCCCTGGAGATTTTCCCCTCAACAATGAGCTCCAGAAAAAACTAGAGCATCATCTTCGAAAGAGGCTCATTCAACACCGCTGGGGTCTGCCCCACAGGATCCATGAGTCTTTGTCAAAGATGAGTCCACTAACAGAAATTCCCTCTGAATCAAAGAGCATTGATGGACTCTCTTCTTTTAAGAATCAGAACAACAAAGATCTAAATTTCCAATTGAGCCAGCCCAGAAGCTTCTATAAGAGGAGTTCAGAGATGTTTCCTCTAGAGGGAGTGGGGAAGGAACAGAGACATAGTTTAGAGATTGGCCCAGAAGATCATCTGGCCAGTGACCAAGATGGGGCTTCAGATAATGGTCTAGAGTGTGACTCTGAGACAGACACAGTAAATAACTCACAGAGTCTGTGCAGGAATAATTCAAGAACCTCAGTGCTGAGCCTAGATCAGAAACAACTTAAGGATGCCCTGGAAGTACATTTGAAGAAGAAATTTGGGGAACTCAGTGAAGGTCAGATTCCTAGCACTGTGCATAGTTCACAGCAGTCTATGAAGATGACCTTGCCTCCACCTGAGAAATCCCCCAGTCAAATAAAGCAGAGTGATTTGGCACCAATGATGGGCAGTGACCCAAACATTCCCAAGGATATCTCCCTCCCTGATTCCGACAAACAAATGACTTTGGAAGACCATAGTACAATTTTTCATATGAGGATGATTAGTGGCCTTCCTCAGAGGGTCCAAGAATCCATAAATAACTTTAATAAAAGAGGACGGCCATCTCAGGCTTATTCTGCCCTCAACTTTCCATCCTCTACCACCCTTATTTCTGAGGTGGATTCTAAACTTGGGGTCTCCAGGTCCCTCAGAGGAAACTCCAATGCTTATGTTAAAGAAAAGATGGGGACAAGAGATCCAATCCCCATTCTAGATTCCATCCCTGCTGCCTCACCTGGGAGCAAGGAAGGACAGGGGTCCCAAAGACAGTCATTCTCTGATATCAAGAATGAGCCTATAGACAACCTTCATAAAATGAAACAGCTGTTTCCACAGCAGACCCAGACTGTCATAGAAAAAGCCAGTGAGAAACAGCCTGTAGCAGGGAATAGATGCATCCCTAACCTGCCCATAAGGGCATCTGAGGCTGCACCTGAGACAGGAGATAAAAGACTCAGCTCCAGCAACACTATACAAAAGTCTTGGGGAGAAAGAATGTTTTCCATATCTGATAACTCTGGGGAGACATTCAAGGCAGAGGAGCTCTCTGGTCTCCAATCACAACCTAATGCCATCTTGACAACCAGAGAGAGGGGAAAGTCCCCAGTCATATATGCGAATCCAGATAAAGCAGAAAGTACCCTGACCACTGAAAAGTCCCCAAGGGGAACATTAGTTCCTCACTACGCTGATGTGAACTCAAGAAAAGTAGAAATGACCCCCCGACTAATGAAATATTCCCGAGGGGAACATCAAGTCCCCATTATGCTGATGAAAATTTTAGAAAAGTAAAATCTACCCAGATTACTGAAAGGTCCCCAGTGGGAACATCAGTTCTCCATTATCCTGAGGCAAATTTTAATAAAGTAGAAACTACTCCAACCACTCCAAGGCCCCCAGTGGGATTGTCAGTTACACGTGATCCTCAGTCATCAGACTTTAAAAGTCAGATGATTAAAGAGTTGAAGCTGAAACTGGAGAGCAGGAAGCAAAGCCAGGCTCAGGGCCTTCCTGCTGATGTGCCCCTGGCCTCAAATGCCTCAACTTTCAAGACCTTACTTACTCATGACCACAGGGTCCCCAGTGGTGATGTGGCAAATTTCCAGGTGCTGCATGTCCAGTTGGACAACACAAAGACCAACCTAGAGCAGGGTCAGGAGCCCTGCATCAATGAGGATGACTTGCAAAAGGGTCAAGGAAAGAATTTCCCATCAACTGCCAAGATCATGAGCCATCCTGGGCTTAAAAGAGAGCTTGGTGGAGGGGACACAGGGTTGGAGACATCTCAACCCAGGAGGAAGAGCTGCTGCCCTCAAGACAGGGCATTGGAGAAGACACTTAGGAGCAAATCATCCTCAACCCTGTCACTGAAGGGACAGCCTCCTCCTGAAAACTGCTTCAGAAAGCAGATGAAGCACTTTTTTCAGTGGCTTTGCCCTGGAGCAAGAGGCAAAGGGCAGAGAAGTTCCCTGGGAAAGGGCATCTCCCCATCTGTGCAGGGCAGAGGCCTAGCTAAAGGGAGAGCTGCCTTTGCTGGGATTACGGAAGATGAGAATGTCACAAAAGGTATTACAGATGTCCCAGAGGAAAAATGTAGAGAAGCAGTAGATGTCACCTGCCCCCAAGGCCCCCTTTTTTCTCCCATGAAGCCTGGGAAAACTCAGAACAAGGCAAAACTGCAGGTCCAGCACAAGGCTGATCCTGTCCAGGAGCATCACTTCAACTACAAAGCTTCCTGCTCTAAAGCACCATGCGTCAAGTCCTGCAAACAAGAATCTGCTTTTTCTCACCCAAGTTATCTTGAGAGAACAAGCAGATAAGAGCAGGGGATGGAAAAACCCCAAATAGCATGCCACTTAAGGAGCAGATCAACTACAAAGCCTCCTGCTCTAAAGTGCCATGTGCCAAGTCCTGCAAACAAGAATCTGCTTTTTCTCACCCAAGTTATCTTGAGAGGAACAAGCAGATAAGAGCAGGAGATGGAAAAACCCCAAATAGCATGCCACTTAAGGAGCAGATCAACTACAAAGCTTCCTGCTTGATACCTTAAAGCAACTGAGGCCAATAGGAAAAGGGGACCAGGAACTAGAGAAAAGGTTAGATTAAAAAGAATTAACCTAGAAGGTAACACCCATGCACAGGAAATCAATGTGAGTCAATGCCCTGTATAGCTATCCTTATCTCAACCAGCAAAACCCCTTGTTCCTTCCTATTATTGCTTATACTCTCTCTACAACAAAATTAGAGATAAGGGCAAAATAGTTTCTGCTGGGTATTGAGGGGGGGAGCGGGAGGGGGTGGAGTGGGTGGTAAGGGAGGGGGTGGGGGCAGGGGGGAGAAATAAACCAAGCCTTGTATGCACATATGAATAATAAAAGAAAAATGAAAAAGAAAAAAAAAATAAAAAAAATAAAAATTAAAATTAAACCTATAAAATGCCCAAAAAAAAAAAAAAACAAAGCTTCCTGCTCTAAAGTGCCATATGTCAAGTCCTCCAAACAAGAATCTGCTTTTTCTGACCTGAGTTATCTTGAGAGGAACAAGCAGATAAGAGAAGGGGGTGGAAAAACCCCAAATAGCATGCCATTTAAGGATCAGAGGTGTGCCCCACCCTTGTCCAACAGGGAGCCCATGCCCCAACCCAGCTCCACCTGCAGGTGTCAAGAGCATCAGGTGTCTCTGGCTGTCACCAGGATTCCAGAAGGCACTAGGTTGGGAAATTTTTCCCTGCTGTTGAAGGAGAAAGTTCTTCTTCAGCATTTCAAGGGAGGAAAATTTCCTTCCCCAAAATAAATCATTTACTTCTCCAATAAATATTCTACAATAAATCGTCCATATCTCTAAGAAAAGTTCTTACAGAAGTCTTATCTTTTCTGTGTGCTGTTTTGTGGGAACTGGTTTTGGGCAACTCAAGGGTTACGCTTAGAGAAAGGAAGAGGTGCCTTTTCTGAGGGCACCTATTGGCTTCTACAAGGTTACCCCCAAATCTCCTTCCCTCCCTGTTAAAGTTTGAGGTTCTTATTCCTACCTCCCAGCTTAGCCATAGTGACATTGTATGGTAGCCCACATTTCCCCCCACACTGTTGCTTCCCATCCTCCAGAGTCATAGGGAAGACAGGTCATTCTAGCTGTGGGATGAAGGGTTGGAATATTTTTCAGAATAGAGTGGATGACCCTATCGTGGGAGCATGTGAAGGTACTGCTGCAGTGCATGCTGGGCTGGGTGGGGTCAAGTCTATGAAGAGGATGCTGCTGAACAATTGTCATGTGAGCCATGGTGATGGGTTTCTGAAACATATTTTGACCTTGCCCTGCAGGTTTCCTCACTGGCAAATCACTCAAGGGGACCAGGTCCCTCCATGGTTATTTCTTCAGTTTGCCCTGGACTGATGACATTTTTGCAGAGGAGAAGCAAACTTGAGCTGCCAGTGTAGGAATGTCACATAAAGAGTATGAAAGTCAAAACATAAAGAGTAAAGAATGACCTTGCCAGTAAAATTAACTTATGCCCCATTACCCCACATCATTACCTGTTCCTCTCTTTCTTAGCGTGATCCTGTCAGCACTTCCTCAGGACTGATGAGGACACCTGAAGGTTTACTCATGTCATATTGCAAGTGTACTTTGAGTGGGGCTCTCGGAGCACAAAATATCTGCCAGGCTCTCATCAAGCTATTTCCCTCTTTAGGAAAGGTGACCACCTTTCATCCATGCTTGATGACAACATGCAGGATCTCACCCTTATGAGTACAGTTCACATGTTAGGATGAAGGTGCTGTCTTTGATCTACTTGAACTTGGTGGAGCCATGGTAGATCTCTCCCGGGTCACCTGCACCTCATGATCCAGAACTGAGTCCTCAACTATGCACAGGGTCACAGGTATTTGGGGGCTTGTTGTGCACCTGTATGTAATGCTTTTATTGTTCAAGTCTGTGCTTGAACATATCCACTCTTAAAATAGTTGTCTGGAAGAAAGATAACTTCTTGGACAGACAGACTCAAATACACGATATTTGAAGTAGTTCTTATAGAAAAATTTGTGCCTTCTGGATGTCAAAAAAACAGAACAGCTGTCTACTACAGCCTCCTCACTCTACCATGATTCTATCTATCTATCTCTGCCCAGAGATATGCCATTGACCCTGCAGTGTGTGTGCAGATTATGTGGTAGGCCTGGAAAGGACAGAAGGTACACACACAGTGGGAAATCTGAATACCCATGAGGGTGGGCAGCCAATAACTGGTCTCTGAATTCCTTTATTGTCCTAACTTAGGATCCTTTACCTCAATCCCAGTTCAGTTACCCCATACTCTAAAATCATCACCAGGAACATATCTGCCATCTGGGGGTAGCACAAAGTTTCATTCCACCTTTTGACCTCATCCCCCTGTCCTTCCAGCATATGTCCAATTTGTCAATTTCACATATTTAACATTAGTCATGATCTCAGTTTTTCAACTGTCAAATTTTCCACTTCCCACTCTTTCCACATTGTCTTCATTTCCTCCCTTTTAAAGGTAGAATTCATTGTCTATCATTTAAACATTTAAAAAGCTCCACTGCAGCAGGACATAGTGGATCCCACCTATAATGCAAACTACTCTAGTGGCAGAGATCAGGAGGCAGTTTGAGTCCAGCCCAGGCAAAAAGCAAGACCCTATCTCAACAAATAAATCAGACATGGTGGCTCACATATGTAACCCCAGCTCTGCAGGAGGGGTAGGTGGACAAAAATGTGAGACCATATATGAAAAATAGAAAAAGGTCTGGAGACACCACCAAGGTGGTAGAGTGCCTCTAGATAACTAGAAGAACAGCAATCCCAGATCTGTATTTTGGAAAAATGACTGGCAAGAGAAGCTGGTGAGAGTCATGGGGAAATGCACAAATGAATCACAGTGTCACACAGCATACTGTCATATAGATGTTAGAAAACAGGTGATTTATAGCTTTAGGTGCTTATATTTCTCCACAGTACAGGAACAGATCCAGCTTCTTTCTCATCATCCCTTGGTTCTGCCCAGTGTCCCCCGCCTCAGGCCACGTCTCATGTGGTACAAGATGTCAGGCAGGAAAAAACAGCCATTGTCTCTGTGTTCCCAACTGAAGTCCTAATCACCCAACTGGTGATTCACAGGATCACCAGTGAATCAATTGTGATCCATGAACCAGTGCCTATTCACACATTTTTGAGACCATCTACAAGGTAAAGTTGTCCCTCAGTATCTTCAGGACACTGGTTCCAGATTTCCCAAGAATACCAAAATCTGAGGATATCCACGTTATATAAAATGACCTATTATTTTCATAGAACCTACATACATTCTTCAGTATACTTTAAATCATCTCTAGATTACTTATAATACCTAATAAAATGTAGATGCTATGTTAAATGCCTGTTATGCTGCATTGTTTTGGGGAAAATGACAAGGAAAAAGTCAGTGCATGTTCAGTATAGATGCACCATTTCTTGGAGGGGGGTGCAGTGCTGGAGTTTGAACCCAAGGCCTTGTACTTGGTAGGCTCAGCCCTTTTTTTTTTTTTTTTTGCTTTGGTTATTTTTCACATAGAATCTCCCAATTTTTCCCTGAACTGAACTGAGCCTGCAATCCTTCTACCTACACTGTCCCATGTGTCTGGGATCACAGGTACACAGCACCACACCTGGCTTATGGGCTGAGATGGTGTTTCAATAAATTTCTGCTGAAGCTGGCCTCAAACAGCCATACTCTCAACTCCATCTCCCAAGTGGTTGGGATTATAAGCATAAGACATGACACTGTACAGATGCAACTATTTTTTTCCTGAAAAATTTCGAATTTTGGTTGTATCCACAGATGTAGAAGCCACCAATACACAGGACTAAATATATAAAAATTGAGAATGGCTAGAAACTATTATTGTAATTTGAAATAGTAATTGAATCTAATAATAAAAACTTGAGGCTAGGGCTGGGAATGTAGCTCAATGATAGGAAACTTCTCTAGCATGTGCAATGCCCTGGGTTCAACCCCCAACAACATAGAAAAAATATTTTTAAAAGAATGAAATTCAGGCTTGTATTGTTTGTCTTTGGTAGGTTTGCCATTTTTTCAGTGGTTCATTTTTATTATATTATACACAAGTATTGGAGAAAGGACAAACTGGTCCTTTGCCACAATAGTTTGAGAATCTCTGGTCTCATGCAATGCTCCACTGTGAAGCCTTGCTCTGACAAGGTATGTGTGGCCAAATCATGGGGTGCCCAGCTATCTGGCTAAGCATTATTTCCAGATGTGACTGTGTAGATGTTTCCAAATGAGATTAACATTTAAATCAGTGGTCTCAAGAAAGAAGATGGTCCCTCCCCAAATGGGTTAGTATCACCAAATCCCTAAAGAACTGAATAAAACAAAAGGTGGAGAAAGAGAGAAATCATCCATTTTTCTGCCTGTATATAAGAGAGGGAAAATCTGTCTCAGCTAACCTCACAATGAGACACACACCATAGCTTCCCTGGTTCTCAGACCTTTGGACTTGGACTGAACTACACCAGCAGCTTTCCTAGGTCTACACATGCAATTTTGATCCTTATTTTAAGATAAGTACAATGATAATTTAATGTATAAGCTACATACACAAATCCTGCTTGTACCCACATTTAGTTTTAATCAAGCACACACTTCCACAATCAACTGTTCTTACAAGTATGTTAATAAACACCACGCCAGCTATTCACCCTGCCATCAGCTTTTTAAGCCCCACCATTTCTGCTACTAAAAGCATTCATTTTTAGAAGCTCTAATCTGATCTGGAAATATGAAGTCTTCTAAAACTTA